ATGAATGAGTCAACAAATCAATGAATGAGTCAACAAATGAATAAATATGTTAATGAATGAATGAATGAGTCAACAAATGAATGAACAAGTGAATGAATGAATGTGTTAAGGAATGAATGAGTGAATGAATGAACGAGTCAACAAATCAATGAATGAGTCTATGAATGAATGAATGAATGAATGAATGAGTCAATGAATGACTGAATGAATCAACAAATGAATGAGTGAATGAGTCAACAAATCAATGAATGAGTCAACAAATGAATAAATGTGTTAATGAATGAGTGAATGAAAGACAACAAATGAATGAATGGAAGAGTCAATGAATGAATGTGTTAATGAATGAATGAATCAATCAATTAATGAATGAATGGATGTGTTAATGATTGAATGGATGAATGTGTTAATGACCGCATGAATGAATGAATGAATGAGTCAATGAATGAATGAATCAATTAATTAATGAATGGATGTGTTAATGATTGAATGGATGAATGAATGTGTTAATGACCGCATGAATGAATGAGTCAATAAATGAATGAATCAATTAATTAATGAATGGATGGGTTAATGAATGAATGGATGAATGAATTTGTTAATGAATGCATTAATGAATGGATCAATGAATGAATGAATGCCTGAATGAATGAATGATGTCATTCCTACTGTTTGGTGCGTTTGAGTCCCTATGGCAGGGGACTCAAACGCACCAAACAGTAGGAATGACATCATTCATTCATTCATTCAGGCATTCATTCATTTCTGTTTAAAAGTCAATTATTTATTTTATTATTCTCATCTTAGACGTTTGAGTCTCCTCGACCATAAAACAACCAACCTCATGTAAATTGGAGGAATTTATTTAAAATAATTAAATCTCATTTTAAATGCTACTTAGGTTTATTGTCGTGTCATGCATCTTGAAATTAAGTTACAATTCTAAGTAATAAAAAATATATTTATATTTTTTATAATAGTTCTCATCCAATGACTTTTTATATCAAAATATTTTTTATGCTTAAATTATTAAAAATAAATTTAATCCCTGAGCCAACTGTCCACCCTGTTACTCTAAATACCCCCCCCCCCCCCCACACACACACACACACCCACACACACACACACACACACCACTTCTTCAGTCACATGACTCACAGATAGTCTGATATTTTTGGAGGGAAAACATCGACAAGAAGCAGTTTCACTTTTTATTTGAACATTTTTCTGTTTTAGACAGAAGCACATCTGTTACCCTCGTATACTGAAAACTGCTACTTTATGAGGTGCTGCTAGTAAACACATTAAATATCTGACTCGGTGGTCACAAAGTACTAGCTTGTTTTTCATTACAGGACTAGCAGAATCAGAATAAACTTTATTATCACTGCACAGAGATACAACAAGAACATGCACGTACAGTCTGAAAGATGGACGGCGTGCACGTAGCTGCTGCTATAAAGCGCGGCCTTCTTGTCCTTTTTTTTCAGAATAAATTTTGTAGGTAGAAAAAGGGACGAAGCCATGAGGAGAGGGTAGTGGCATTATAAAAAGATCTCTTCACTCCTCGTCCTGACAGGACACCATTTAAAACATCCAAACTCTGCCAGCAGCACATTGATGAACACGTTGCATATTATTTACAACGAGGCGGTCCATGAAGCACTAACAGATACTTCATTACTCAGACAGACTGTTTTTCTCGTCAGCCTCGAGTCTTACTGGTACTTCCAAGGTCCAAAATGGTCAGATTAGAGTGCATTCTACTGGTCGTGCTTACGAGCCTCTTCAACGTTGTTTCATGCTGACGAGTCCAAAGCCGCAGGTGGCCTGTGATTCAAATCACTTCCATCTTACGGTTTAGCTCATAAATCGGCTGATTTTGAGTCCTCAAAGCACGAACTAGACATTCACATAGACAGCAGCTAGTCGAGGTCCAAACTAGGTGCGGCCGTCTTCTTTGTATGTTGATAAACCAGGAACCAGACGAATCAAAACACAGGAAACCGTTTATCATAAATCCAATTAGATGAATCTCGGCGTCCTAGAGGAAAGCAGCACTTTACTAACACTGTGTTCAGTGAAGGTGGGGTGCTGTTGACATCAACCAGTGATGTCGTTGGGAGGTGGACGGAATACTTCTCGGACCTTCTCAATCCCACCAGCACGTCTTCCATGGAGGAAGCTGAGTCAGGGGTCTTTGGGGTTGATCAGTCTGTAATTGTGGCTGAGGTCACTGAGGTAGTTAAAAAGCTCAGAGGCGGCAGGGCTCCAGGAGTGGATGCGATTCACCCTGATTTCCTTAAGGCTCTGGATGTTGTTGTGCTGTCTTGGTTGACACACCTTTGCAACGTTGCGTGGACATCGGGGGCAGTGCCACTGGATTGGCAGACTGGGGTGGTGGTTCCCCTCTTCAAAAATGGGGACCGGAGGGTGTTCTCCAATTACAGGGCCATTACTCTCCTTAGCCTCCCTGGTAAGGTCTATTCAGGATACTGGTGAAGTGAGTCCGATCATTGGTCAAACCTCAGATCCAGGGGAAACAATGTGGATTTCGTCCTGGCTGTGGAACACTGGATCAGCTCTTTACCCTCACTAGGGTCCTCAACGGGTCATGGGAGTTTGACCATCCAGTCTACATGTGTTTTATGGACTTGGAGAAGACATTTGACCGTGTTCCTCGGGGCACACTGTGGGGGTGATCCGTGAGTCTGGGATTGGAGGCCCGTTGTTACAGGCTCTTTAAGGCTCCAGTATACTGCCGCGTATGTCCGTTCATGCGTACGTACGCGTGTTGACCATGTCCTGAGACTGAAGAAGTCCTCAGGATGAGAGACGAAACTTTTCTACATTTTTTTGTTGTTGTTTTGTTTGGAATGTCCAGAGGACCAGATTTACCTTTTTGAGATTTTTCTACCTGGATTATTGAGCAGCATCAGGAAATATAATGTGTATTTCATGTATAATATATACATTTCTGAGGTCTATAACGTGTATTTATATATAATATATGAATATAGGAAATTTATAATCTGAATTTATATATAAATATTGGGATGATATAATGTGTATTTATACATAATATATAAATACGTGAAGTATATAATAAGTGTTTTTATGTAATAACCAGAAAAGGATGGTAAAGTTCTGTTGATTATTTCATCTTACAATTAGATTTTCAAACCGCTTTAATAAAAGAGATTCATAGAGAGGTTTTTAAGTTTGATTACAATATTTAGTTAGATGTTTTTAAACGTCTGAAATAAGATTTAAAACGTATCAGAACAGCCGCAGGAATCAGTTTATCTAAAAATAAAAATAAGCACTGATCATTTGTTGCTTCAAATCAACAAAATTATTTTTTATTTAAAATTTAATTTAATAAAATTACTGACACTTTGATGTTTTCATGTTTTTCTCTCCGGTTTTCCTCTTTGGTCACTTTGAGAACTTCCTGCTTTCAGAGCTGGTGTTATGTTTTCAACCAATCATAGAGCAGAACCCGTCACCGTGGTAACAGGAGAGACTCCTGCTCTGCTAGATGAAAACTTCATATTTTGATAATTGGTCGGCCCCTCTGATTGGTCGGCTGCTGCTCAGGTGCGAGTCTCCTGCAGGACTCGATCCTCCAGCTGCGAGAAGCGCTTCAACATCTGGTCGTACACCTGAAGGACAAGAAGACCTGATGTTTGTGCTGTTTTTGAAGTCTGAAATGTTCAGATGGAAGGCGGTGCTCTCACAGCAGCTCTGCCCCCTGGTTTCATGTTTCAGATCAGACTACAATGAGTGTGAGGACTTCCTGGTCTTTTTAATGAGATGTTTGAAGACCAGAACAGTCCTCACAGGTAGACCAAGAGCAGCTGGTACCTGTTCAGCTGAGGGGTGGGGCGTACAGATCAGCTGAGGCTCTGGAGCTTCTTTCACCACATCGAAGAAGGACACTCCAGAATCTGCCACCAAACCTGGAAAAACCCAGAGGGCAGGTTTCAGCACCAATAACCAAACTCCTAGTTAGGAAGGTCAATTAATGTAAACCAACCAGTTAATTTAAACCAACCAGTTAATTTAAACCAACCAGTTAATGTAAACCAACCAGTTAATTTAAACCAACCAGTTAGTGTAACAAACCAGTTAATGTAAACCAACCAGTTA